GCTGAATTTGCTCCAAACAAACATCACTGATACTAATAAAGTTGTAGTATCTAGTTTCTTAAAACCCTTAAAAGAAGGACCCTTTTTGGACTAGTCAGAATTCCATCCTGGAAAAGTGTTAGGGATCCCTCCCAATAGGTCTACCCTGCCTGTACTATTCTAGGGAGTATGCTGGAGGCAGAGGGCAAGGGAGGGGCCATATTTAACAAATGAGTTCTATGTGGTGTATTGTTTAATCAGTTCTATTTGGTGCATTCCTGAAGTCTCAAATGTGATTGTTGCGGGCCTAGGGGAACCATGGCAAAATGGATCCAATTAGAGCCCCATTAATCTTGATCATTCCGTTTTTTGTCCATCCCATTTTGTTTTCTTACCCTTACACCCCCTACCCCAGAGATACTACCACACAACACCACAAAACAGACATCCCCCAATGACCTTAGCCCCATTGCTCCATTCACTTTCAGGTGAGAATTCAGGCAAATGTCCACAGAGGTCACAGACAAACATACGGTTCTGTTATGTCCCATCTATTACCCCTCATGTCTTTAAGGAAGACATTTTCTCTCTGAGATTTTCATTTCAGTCTATCTTTTAAAAAATCTTGTATTAACTTGCCTCCATCCTTGTTTTGGGTAAAGATGACCCAGGAATGGCCCTTTTGTGTCTATGATGTTGCTGTTCACAGCTTTTCTTGACAGGCCTAGTACAATCTTGGGAACAGGGTTGCTGTATGCTAAAGGTCTCAACAGTAGCTCTTAGCCTTGCCTATCTTAGGTAGTTATGCTGTGCATTTTTTATTGGTGTACCATGTTTGATTTGTCCTTGATTCTTTAAATTTGGAGTTTTTTGAGGAATGGAGCAGTAATGCAGCATCAACTTATTAAAATACATTTCAAGCCTTTTAAAAAAAAGAAAAGAAAAATAATCAGATGAAAGAAGCAGTTGATTTTTAAAATCTTGAAACAATAATTATAATCTTGTTTTTGACATGCAGGCAAAATCATTGAAGTGTATGTTTTTTATGACAGAATAGTATTCCATGATATACATATACCACAGTTTATTAATCCATTCATGGGTTGACAGCCACATACATTGATTCCACACCTTGGCAATTGTGAATTGAACTGTGATAAACAATCTTGTGCAAATGTCCTTATGATAAAATTATTTTTTTCCTCTGTATTTTTTTCCCTCTAGTAATGTGATTGTAGGATCAAATGGAAGGTATGTTTTCAGTTCTTTAAGATTTTCCATACTTCTTTACAAAAAGGCTATATTAGTTTGAAGTCCTACCAAAAGTGTAAGAGTGTTTCCTTTTCTCTACATCCATGCTGGCATCTGCAGCTTTGGGACTTTATGATGTAGGTTTTTTTGGTTTTTTGTGTTTTGTTTTGTTTTTTGTTTTGTTTTTTTTTTGCAGTTTTGGCGGGGGCCAGGTTTAATCCTCCTCCCTTCCAGAGGGGCAGCTTAGTTCCCTCCCTGTGAGTGTGGCCTGGACTTATTGGTTCACTTCCAACTGATAGAGCAATGAGGGTGGAATATTTTGTGATTCTGGGTGTAGGACATAAAATTCACTGTGGCTTCCACCTTGGTTCTCCTTCTCTCTTGCATCACATGCTCTGGGGAAGCCAGCTGCTGTGTCACAAGCAGCCCTGTGGAAAAGTCCCTGTGCCAGGAACTTGTGACCAGCCAACAAGGAGTGAGATTTCTTCAACAGCCATATGAGTGAACCACATTTCATGGACTCTCCAGCCACAGTAAGATGACACAGCCCTGGCTGACAACTGGACTCTTAACTTTGGGAGAGGCTCTGAGCTAGAATATCTCAGGGAAAACGTTCCTAGGTTCCTGAGTATCGGTAAGCATGGGAAATAATAAATATTTGTTTTTAGAGGTGCTATGTTTTGGGAAATCTGTTACACAGCAGCAGATAACTACAACAACTTCCACAGAGAGAATGAATTATTTTTTGTATTTAAGATTAATATGAGAGTAAGAACCATTAGGTTATAATGCTTGCATTTGTTAGGTAAGTTCACCATTGTAGTTGTGCCCCTCGCCCAGGAGGTGTGCCATATACCCTTCCGTTGTGCCCATTGAGGGCCCACCAATCCCCCACCCTCCTCCTCTATACTCCTTGCTCTTTCCCCTTCTCCCCAACTTGAATTAAATTGAGTTTTTCTCCTGTGAAGGCATGTATTAGTTCATCTACTGACTTCATATTAGTATTGAATAAACTAAATACATGCTTTCCATTCTTGTGATACTTTAATAAAAAGAATTATTTCTAGCCAGGCACAGTGACTCATACCTGTAATCTTAGCACATTGGGAGGCTGAAATGGGTGGATTGCCCAAGCTCAGAAATTTGAGACCAGCCTGAACAAGAGGGAAATCCCATATCTACTAAAAATAGAAAAAACAAGCTGGGAGTTGTGGCAAGCAGCTGTAGTCCTAGCTACTCAGGAGGCTGAGACAAGAGGATACTTAGACCCAAAATTTGAGGTTGCTGTGAGCTATGACACCATGATACTCTACCCAGTGTGACAGAATGATACTATATCTCAAAAAAAAAAAAAAAAAAGAATTATTTCTAACTCTATCCAGGTTTACATAAGATGTAAAGCCTCCATGTTTTTTATGAAAGAATAGTATTCCGGCTCGGCGCCTGTGGCTCAAGCGGCTAAGGCGCCAGCCACGTACACCCAAGGTGGCGGGTTCGAATCCAGCCCAGGCCCACCAAACAACAATGACGGCTGCAACCAAAAAATGGCCGGGCGTTGTGGCGGGCGCCTGTGGTCCCAGCTACTTGG